AGGATGACCCAATAGGGCATGAGTTGCTGGTGTGATATAAAATTAGCTACATAAAGTTGTTGTGTCATTCTGATGCTTCACCTGGCTAGAATTACCTGAATAAATTACCTGAGTAAATGAAGAAGCATCTCTCTTAAATGACTGTCTTCAGCTATGACTGTCTTCTACTATGATTAGGACGATATACCAATTGGGCTGTACTGAAAGGCTAATATTGAGCATATAGCAGAAGAAAGACTCAGAAGAAATGGTAGTAGAGAAGGAAGTGTGTAGAAGTAGAGAGGCCAGATAGATGGTTCAGATGGGTGTGGAGTGGTTCATTCCTAGTATTGTCTTGATAAAAAAAGTCTTCATACTTTAGTATATTTAGAAAAAGGAAAACAGGAGAGAAAAATCACAGCAGAATCAGGATCAAATTAGGCAAACATTTTCATAATTATAGAAAGAATAGCGGAAATTCTAATAGCTGGATTGTGGTAGTAAAAATGCTCTTAGTTGATCGATCATGGCTAAGTGGCAGACTTGACTAGAGCCATGATTTTCAGTTTCATTATCAACATATTTTAGAAAATTCCTCATGCTTCTTAGAAGAAAGCAGAATATTTAATTTGAGAAATATGACCCTATGGAATATGTATCATTAACATAGTGGTGTGGTTATAACAATACCTAAAATAGTTCCATGCGATATGGCAAAAGTAAAATATGCTACAAAAACAAGGAATTTCATAGGAATATTAAGAGTAGGAAGATCAACATTGTAAGAGTATATTTTACCTACTAAGACTGGCCAGTTGTTGAAGCTGTAACTAGAAAAAGTATTTATATAAAGATATGATTATAAATTTGATTTATTTGTGAAATGATTGTGCAACTTATTTAACGCTTGGGAAGACTATATTCATGCCCGATGATGGAAAAAATGCCACCACTGTTCCCTTAAAAAAGTACAAAAAATGAGGGAGTAGGGAGTTTGTGTGTGAAATGCACTTTGGGAAAGCTTTTGGCAGATTTTTGATTGTAAGGTCACAGAGGTGGCAGTGAATAAAATTTGCGAAGTAGTGCAATTCTATGCTGGGAAGGAGGTGTGCAGACTGGATTTTACTCTTCAGGAAATAATGGAGAATTATATGAAAGTGATAAAGTAAGCTTACAGCTTATAGCATGTATAGAACAGATGCAGAATAAATTGGATATGCCTGGTATACAAAACGTTTGCACCAATATGGAGTTGAAAGTCAGGTTCTTCAGTGTAATAACTGTGGCGTATAAGAAATAAAGCATGAGAATCATTGGTATGCTTAGCAAATGGTTCAACAATGGCAAGGAGGCAAAGCCAAAAACTGTTTGTTCCCTTAGCTGTTAAATGCACAAGGAATGTGTCAGAGTATATTCATGAACTGGAATAGAGCATGGTAACAAGGTCAGCAAATGAATAGGCATAGCAACTAAGTCAGCCAATGAGGACTGTTTGGAAACTGAAACTAGGAGTAGCCTAGGCATGGCTCTATATTAAGCTCTGCAGCTCTGAAGCGATGTTAAGCTCTCAATCTGTCTATTGAAAATGAAACTGCTTTTCTCCTCTGCTGTGTGTCTTGCTTGTCTGCTGAAGTTAAGTTGCTGCTCTGCTCTGAACCTGTAACATGTCTGCTTCTGTTTGAGTTTGCTCCATGTTGCAGAAATCTACAACTGGTATTGTAAAATTTGTAAAACAAGTACCAAACAACAAAAGGGTTTGCAGACTAAAAGCAAGACTTTAAATGGTAACCAAAACTGAGTCAGCATCTAATACAGAGTCTGCAATATGGGTGTTAGAAGCTCCCAGCTTTGGGTATCAGTTGATCCACAAAATACTGCATTCTGGACCAGATATAATTTATAAATATTCTTCAAAGGTAGCCTTATGTAAAGCACATTATGGTAATATGGTAGTCTATTTGCACAATAATAAGGACATGAGTTCTGTAGCCAGGTCTTCCTGCATCAAGTAAGGCTGCAATTGGCGTACCCACTGAAGTTGGACAAAGGCCCCTCCAGTCACAAATCTGATCTTTTACATCTAATGCTTGCCTGTTCAGAGATAACACTGTTACCACTGGTGAACCCTGATGTATAAACAGCAATTCCATCTTGCTTAAAATAAACTTCAGCCTGTTTTCTCTCATACTGATCCTTTGAACCACCAGGGCCTGGGATAGATCAAGAACAGTCTCTCCTCTACATCCAGGAGTAGTAAGGTATAATTGATTATCATGAGCAAACCTTTGATACTGCACCCCAAAACTGTCAGATGATCTCCCCATGCCCAGGAAGCTGAGTAAAGGAAATTTCCTTGCCTACCACCACCTTGGAAAATAGAAGAATCATAAATAAAATACCAGAAGATCAAGGAGGCTATGTTTGACAAGAAAAACATAATGATTAGGAACTATACTGTATATAACTGGCAAAAAATAGAGCATATAAATGAATTTGTATAACTTGGTAGAATGTTGATTAAAGATGTGAACATGAATGAAGAAAAATTAAGAGGTCAAATACTGGCAATAATCTATATAGCCTGTGATCTATGGTGAGGAATAAAAGTTTGTCAAAAAGCAAATATTGTTGGGTATAAGAGTATACTTCTGCTGCCTTAATAATATAAAAATGAATGTTAAGTATGCCAGGAAACATAAAAGGAAGCTGAATGAAGGTAAGTGGTTTGCTTAAGAAGTATGTGATGAGAGAAGTGGAGACTGAGTCTATGGGTGATAAATGAATGTGGACTGCAAACAAAAATAAGTGGCCGATGTGAAAGAAGTATACTGAAGGAGTTTGATCAATGAGGCTAAAATTGCAAAGCAAACATGTGATGCAAGAATGGTTGGCTGAATGGAAGGCCAAGAAAGACATAATTATAAGAAGGGGGAGGGGGAAGGAGAGAGAGAAAGAGACACAGAGAGAGAGAGAAATCTGAAAAACAAGTGGTACCATACATTTGCAAGAAAAGAATGATATGGAGAGGTACTGTGGCAAGTGGTGTAGATTTAAACAAGGTTTAGTTAATTTCTTTTTCTTTTCTCCGATTTCCTTCCTTTAATTTCTTTTGACTGGTATTTCACCCTATATGATTTGCATCATACTAGAAATCATGATGAGCATATCTATCTATCTATCTATCTATCTATCTATCTATCTATCTATCTATCTATCTATCTA